CGGAGGATTTCCCCTTCTATCCACTTTATTGAAATGTGACATTACATTCAGTTCTATGGGCACACCGTGGTGTGAGGTGGTTGTACCACATTGCATTCCACTGCATTGAAAAAGGTAATGCATGACTTACTTTTTTTCAGCACACACCACCACGTTCCTACCACAACACAGCGCTGTGAATGGGCAGCATTCGTGACAAGGCAAATTGTCCTGTGTTGCATTGAGGCTGTGCTGGAAACAATGGCCAGCGCAGCTCCACGGCAGATGGTATGAATGGACCCTTAGTATTCATTGCAGGAGTGTTCAGAAAACGACCGCTGTCAAATGAAATTCCAACTGCGTATACCCAGCTTAGCTCCTATTTATTTACCTTTCCAGCTGGCACCTCCTTAATATACTGTTTGGTGACACCGGAGGCCAGAGGCGATTTTGTAAACCTCATACATTTAATCCATACATTAATCCGGACAAAAACTAAACTGTGCCCAGAGAGACAGTCAGATCGCGGCGGATCAAACGCCCCATTTTTTAACAGGCCCGTTACTGCCAAAAAAAAATGACTCTCGCTATGTTCTGCAACACTGAAGACGGAATATGATGTGCGGAGCTGTTCCCTCTCTCTGGCGGCCTAACTAGAAAGCCGTTCTCAGCATTTACAGACGCAGGGAAATGCAGAAATACAAGACTTGGTTTTACTGTTTAATAATAACCAAACTGAACGTTCGGGAGTAAAAAATACAATTCATTTCTCCAAAATGCAAACAAAATGCTGCACGACACAGCCAGCGGCAAATATTTTTGAAGCGGAGCAGTTCAATGGAAACAAAGGAAAGCGTTTTGTTTAGGCAGCAAACAGAAAATCCCATTATTAGGAATCTTCCAGGACAGCAAGTCAACTTACACAGGTGGTTGTCCTGGAAGATGATTGGGGAAATGAAGAACACAGCCTGCTAATTCGATGGGAAACAATGACATCATGGAGGATATGATATACTGGCAGCCATTTCACCATTCACTCATGGTGAATCAATCACTCATTTGAAGCATATGCACCAGGAATATTCACCTGCAATTAATGTTTGGTATATGTCAGAGTCACAACTTTGCGGGCCCTGTCACACCATCAAGAGTGCATTCTGCCTCCGGAACGCAACCTGGCCGCCTCACTTTGTTTTGGGGTGGGAGGGGGCGTGGTGGTGCATTGAACACAATGGCACCGAAGACACCCCCCCCCGCACGCAGTGCGATTGCCGGCACCCGAATGCGTGGCACATTAGTGGCTGTGTTCCGGTCCAGTGCGATCTGCAAAAAAAATGCTGCATGCACTATTTTTGCAGTGCATAGCTGATAGAAACCTGTTCCCATAGACCCTATCCATAGACCCCAAGGCTGTAATTGCTGCCAAAAGTGGCTCCACTAATTACTGCATTGAAGGGGGTTTACACCTGTGCAGTCAGTTATTTTGTGTTTGTTATTGTTATTAATTGAAGTCACTTTGCACAAATCTGCTTTCATTTTGACATTAAAAAGTATTTTGGCCTCATGCCCTAGAACGTTCTTCAACAAAGCTGTCTGACGCATGGTGTTCAGGGAGCCATTGTGTAAGGATGACAATATTTACAACACTGCAGCTTCTAAGTTGGCTTTGAGGTTGGAGCTATGGCTTTGCGATACTGGCATCCAGGGTTCAAATTCAACTAGGAAAACAATCAACATGGACTTAGTATTTTGCCCTGTGTAGGTTTTCCGTGCTTCACTTTCATTCAATGAGCCAAACAAATGTAAGAAGATTGGCCCTAATGTGTGTATCTGTATGTCTGTGAATAGCAGACTAGATGGTAAGCTCCTTTGGGTCTGGTATTGATGAGAGCAGGTCAGTGGTTTCCGGAATGCTTTCATGAAATCTATCATACAATGACTGTCCTTTTAGCTGTGTGGTAGACAGATCTACTTCAAGTGCTTCAGGACCACCGTACAGCGTCCTGAAGCGATTATACCCAAAACACGACTGCTGCAGGTACCGTTTTAAACAGCCGGTGATGGCTGGTGGCTATAGATCTCTGCACACTCCCCGGCATCATATCACTTGTATGGTGCTGGAGAGTGTGCAGAGATCCGCTGATGAGTTGAAATTCTAATAATTTTCTAAAAAATTGAAATAGTTTTTTTTCTTATTTTGATTTGATGTTTCACTAAACTGTACTGAAGTTGTCAATTTATTGCCCAATTTTAAGTTCACAATGGACTGAATTTTGGTAGTTGCTCAAATCCATGACAATGACTAAGATTAAGATATCCTTTGTACATATTCATACATTTTTCCTTTATTCCACATTGCAAAGTCACCTTCTCCCTGCTACAAATCAGCCTCTCTACAACCTCGCGCTTTAAATCACTCTATGAAGTGTGGAGACTCTGAACACTAACAGGCATGATACAGATATGCACATTTCATCCTTGAAAGCTTCCCTGTGTTCATGGTCCGGTTTCCACAGGTTTTGACTAAGAACTAAGCCAAAGTCATGTGACTTGTAAAGCACCATTCCCTGTGGTCCAGGGGATGACTGCTGTATCAAACTGTACCTGAGTGAAAGTGGTACCATAGACTGGCTCCAGCAGTTGACTAGTTTGGAAGCCAAAAACAACCAAATCAGTTTCAAAGGTCATAACTTAAGGTGTCTATGACAGTGAAAGCCACAGTGTTCATAGTGCTATAGGTGGATGCAAATAATGATCAGTCTTCATAGTACAACAAGGTGGATGCTAGACAGGATTGGTCTCCACATTACTACTACAAGGTAGAGGGTGGGAACGATCCTTCTCAACAGTACTACTACATGGTGGATGCGGAAAAAGATCCATCTCCATAGAACTATTACAAGGTGAACGCCAGGAAGGATCCATTACCACTGTACCACTAAAAGGGGTATGCTGAGACAGATCCATTTTCATAGTAATACTACAAAGTAGACAATGAAAAAGATCCATCTCCTTAGTACTACTACAAGGTAAATGCTGGAATAGATATGTCTGCATCTTAAGAGGTAGATGTTGAAAAGGAGCCATGCCTATAGCATTACTAGTACTACAACGTGGATGTAGGAAAAGATTTGTCTCATTGCTGGAGAGGCCAAGAGAAAGCTGACTTTTTATATAAAAGCTAGAAACTCCTTAAAGCTCCATCCAAACAGCGCAGAGTGGGGCGGTACAGGTGCGGCCCCACTCTACTGTCCATCCTATCTGCGTCCGAGTACGGACAACCACACACGCACGGATGTGCAGCTCGGGTGAGCGTACAAGTGTACGGTCGCGTCTTCCCATAGGGAAGAACAGGCTGCTGCGTACAATCACACGCAGCACCTGTCCTTCCCCGGAACGGCCCCATACGGCCGTGCACACTGCACAGATCTGTACAGCCCCAGTCCACGCTGTGTGAATGGGGCTTAATACTTGAAAACTGCTCATGGTTCTGTTTTGGCCTCAATTCACACTGCACACATTCTGTAACATCTGTTTACATGCATTTGCTTTAGACAGCTTCTACAAAACATAAAGCCCAATTGTATCCTCTGTAGTTATTAGTCAAGCAAAACAAATGGCAAACACACTCATCAATTTGTTACCAGCTTTACAGCAAGGTGCACATGGAAGGGCTTAATACAGTAAAACAGCAAAAAGCTTCCTAGCACGCTCACCAGCCAGCATGCAAAAAAACTTGTCTTACCAATAAGGTTAAAAACGGAGGTTTAGATACACGTCTTCTGCAGAAAATGTGAAAGCCGTGCCAAGGCACCTCTATATAGTGCGTTCCTAACTCTCCATCTTGGAGCACATGTGGCAAAAGATCAAATTGGGTGCAGGTTTGTCAGGAGGAAGCCCAACCTACCTTAAAGGCACAGGGACGCACAAGGGACCCAGCACATAACAACGGCAGCTGAGGCCCCCCCATGCGTCACTGCACCAAATCAGTGAAGCAAAACAAATGGCAAACGCACTCATCAATTTGGTGCAGTGACGCATCTGAACCTCTGTTTTTAACCTTAGCGGTGAGAGAAGTTTTTTTGCATGCTGGCTGGTGAGTGTGCTGGGAAACTTTTTGCTGTTGCTCTGTAGTTATTACACACCCTCAAGTTGTAAATACAGCAATAAATACTTTGCATTTTTAGGTTATTTTATTAGGTTCCTAAACCTGGGCTGGACAAATCCCAGGACCCAGGTAGCCAATGCTTCTTCAAAACTACAGCTGGTGCCCAAATTTTGAGGTTTTCTCTAATTGTTAATGGAGCTGGCTCCTAAAAAAAAAAAGCTGCTGGCTCCAGGATTAAATAGACTGGCTCCTGAATTCCATAGTAATGTGTCCATCCCTGTCCTATGCACAGTGTAGCAGCATCTTGAAAAGTTGGAGCACTGCGCTCGTGCACAAGCATTGGCCTGGGTCTCCAGTGGTCCAGTGCCTCCTGCTCCAATAAACAGAGCTTAAGCAGTCATTTCTTATGAACAAAATCAGGGCACTGCATGTAGACATCACCCATTGCAACCATAAATAACATTTAGGGGAAAAAAGGGAAGGGCCAGAACAGCAAAATGACAAATCATGCAAAAAAAAAGGGAAAAGAATAGTATATAAATATAATTCAGAACATGAAGAACATACAGCAAAGCAATATCGGCAGTATATGTTAGCACTTCAAAACTGCCACAAACCTAGGTGAACATATGATGAAAATGTGTAAACATATAAACCTTCAGTGTAAACTGCATGTTAAAGGGATCTGTAGATAGATATGTATAAAAAAAAAGGTTGGGAACATCTGAACTTTTTCAGTAAAAACAGAGCTTGGCACAGCCTCTCACAGCTTTTTACTGGTCAGTGAGAACAACCCTCATGTTACAAGACCAATAGAGAGCCTGGGGACATGGAAATGGGGTGGAACCAAGTACAACTTTTACTGAAAAAGTAGAGATTTACATATAAATTCACCTTCCTGAAACTACCAATGTTGTTATAATTGAATGTAAACCTTTTATGTGGACCTTTTTTTTTTGAAGCATATGGCAGGTTTGAATTGGCCAGGTTAGTGACAGCTTTACTTGAGGCAGACTGACAGGACATCATCCTTGCGCTTCTAGCAAGAGACGTCCATCTGTAAACGCAGACACAAGATCATTACCTTTTTACAAAAGATAAAGTGGCAAGACAGGAAGGCTTTAAAAAAAACAATGCTTACGAAAAAGAGCTTAGCAGTATCGACATATTGCTTCGTAACATGTCCACCATTTTTGTACTTGTTACACAAATTAGAAGTGCAGCAAATTTGGCAAAAACAAAGCTTAACAAGACAAACACTCCAGCTGCTGAGTTCACGCGCAAATCAGCTTCGCCAGTCCTGATGTTGGTGTATAAACAAGTATTCTCAGATGTCTGACCTGATCCGGAAAGGTTTAAGCAGATACAGCTGTATGTTTTGGTTCTCGCTCGGAAATGGAGGAGTTTTCTAGAAAGGCCGCAGCTGTTCGTCGTCCGAAGAATGGCGCAAAAAAAAATGAAACATGAAAGTAAACACCCAGACTTAACAAAGCGTCACAAGTTTATTGCACACTGTACTTGGCCTCTCTCCGCTCTTCATTCTTACAAGACTTGTTAATGTCCATGATCTTCTCGCAAATATATTTGTTGACTTTGGAGAGCCGCTGGGCGATTTCATTCTCGTCCATTGTCTCTTGTGCTATTCTGTCGTACACGCATTCTATGGAGAAAAAGAAGATGGGAAATTAGAGGCTGGTCATTGGAAGCCTACAGGAAAAATATAATGTAAAGAAAGAATGAGAGGAAGAACCAGATGTGTTTCATGTTTCCAGTACAGCATGGGAGAATGAACGGTTACCAAGACATTTTTGTTTCTTGTTTACCCAATGCATTGTTATGAGGCAATGGAAGCCTCCACATTCAATGCCAATTTACGGATCGTCTTTATCTCTGCTCTGGTAAGCCAGAGAAGAATGCAGCATTCTTAAAGCTGAACTCAAGCCTTACATTCAACAACTATGGGGTGAGTGAAATGCACTCCTCCCCATAGTGAGATCTGATGTGTGACACTGCAGCTGTCCCTTGTCAACTTTATTGATCGCAATCACAAACCACCGATCACTCAGTTCATTATCATTTCCCCGCAGGGATTGACCCCTCCTCTCTCCGATCCTTCAGCGCTGACTGGAGGGACAGATGGTGGAGGGGGCGGGTACAGCTGGCTCTGGCGAGGCAGAGTCAGCTGTCAATCAGGCAGCGGGGCGGTTCCCGACAATATTGTCGGGATCTTTTCCTTCTGCAGTGCGGCTCTGAGCTGTCAGCATGTAGTGGGCGATAGCCCGCTTTATGCTGAGTTTTGGGTCACAGGAAGACATTAGTTTTCTTTCTATAAATTCTTTATTTATGTCAGTTAATGTCCTCCTGTGACCCAAAAGAGAACACCAACAAAGGTTTGGCCATAGTTCTCCTAAAAGTCTTGCTCGGCTGTACAAATTTCTCTCCTGTACTGAAATTGCTTACTCTGATTTCACTTAACACTGTGATCTTCTCACAATGTGGATTAAAAGCTGCATGTTAGATAAAGCCTGCCTCATTTCATGGCGGGAGGACATCCAGCAGCATCTAACTCTATCCTCCCAGGCCTGTCTCTGGCCTGCCGCTTTCATTCGCTGGATTTCATTTCTACCAATCGTTGGAGGCTCAGCATCATACGTGGGTGTTACCCAGGATGATCTGCTTGCAAACAAATCCTGCCTAGGAACATCCACTCCTTCAGATTGACAGCCACCCATCAAGACAGTTTGATATTTAGATAACTCCACCCAAGAGCCAGTCCACTGCTTGCATCGGGACTGAGGGCTCTTGAGAGGAGTACTGGGGCAAGGTGCTGGGATGTTTTCAGGAAGCCATGTACAGCACCCTGCATTTTACCTGCCAGTGCAAGGTCGATGAACAGATACTGCTAATACAGGTCCCACTACAGAGCCAAGGGAGAGACCAATGATTTAAGTGACTACATTTGTTGTTTGAAATGAAGCACACTTTCAACTGCAGAAAAAATGTGCATTAATTAAGGGGCTCTAATAATCACTAAAAAAATCTGAACTGGTGATATAATATAACCCCAAATTTTACAATGGTAGCAAGCCTTTTTGTGACACTAACAGGGTTATTCACAAAAGGGTGAAGGGTTTGGTGAAGGCAGAAGTGAAACATCTAGGACAACATAACGGAACTGGAAACATTCTCCAATCCAACTCACTTTCCAGTTCAGCTATGTTGTCCTAGATTGTTCACTTCTCCTGCCTTCTCCAAACTTTAGTGAATAACCCTGTAATTATTAACAGTCACTAATGCATTTGCGCATCAGTACCTGTATGTTTGCATTATCCTTCACAGCATAATACAGTATATCTAAGCAGGTCTGAACCAAAAATGAAATCACTGCTCCCACGATGCAACAGCAGCCTCCCCTCTTTTCTTCTGTGCTAGCAGTGCTGTTGCATCGTTAACAGTGCAGTAGTGCAGTAGATAGGCAGGCCCTGGGAATGTGTATTAATTCCTCTCCCATTGAAGGAAAAAAAAAAAAAAGTGAAAGGAGGATGAATATTGATTAGAAACAGTGAACAGTGATTTCAATAGCTTTTCATTTTGAAGCCAAAAGCAATATACCGTTTTTTTTTTTTTTACTAAAGGAAAGTCCTTTCCTTAATTTGAAATACATATGTTACCTGCCTACACCTTTCACCTGAGTAGACTTGAGTTTATACTGCAGAGCTGAAACCTGTGCAGTCTGTGGGAATGCTCCCTTAAACCCGTCTCTTTGGTGGCATTCATCAGAGAGTGAGAGGAGTGCGCTGTGTAAAGATCAGCGCTGCAAGAAGCTGAACTGAAGACAGGAGCAGTGAGCAGTCTCATTGTACCGATCAGCCAAACTAGCTTTTAATGTTCTTTAACTTCAATTTAGCTTCTTCCCGGGGAGATCGCTGCAGAAAAAGCTGGTCTCACTCTGACAGATGTCACAAGTGGATTACTGTTCTTCTAACATCTTAAAGTACCTTGCGCCTAAATTACAAGTTGCACTGCAACAGAAATTATATCCTTTTTAAATGAAGGCAGAATTTACTGCGCAGACCGATCAGGCCAATCCAAAAAAATCAGAGGGTTTATTAATATCACGAGAAATATACGTTTCTTGTCCTTACTGATATGAACTGAAAAAAAATGACACTTGAACGTTTACTGGCGGTTGTTGGAAACACAGACACATGTTATGTATGAGGCCTAGTGTAGGTATACTGGTGTAGAAACCAGCAAATTGCAATGATTGTCTGACAGCATGACACTTATACTCTTCCCAAGCTATATCACCAATACAGCACCAAGAGAATAAGCTGCAGTATTTTTACTTGAGTCTATATTCATGACAGCATAGATTTCCAGGTCATTTGTGGACCAATGTGTTCTTACTATGAAATGGAGTTATTGCCCCACAACCGCCAATTAAAGTCAGACTACTTAGGACACTAAATGTGAATATGTTTAGGAGTAGAGTGTAAGTACAACAAGTGAAATGTCATTTTAAGGTATCATCTAAGACTTCTACACAGGAATGCTAGGTTCCATAGTGGATTTGCTGCTTGTGCTTTAAATCTGCTGAGCTGACCTGAAAGACTACCCCCAACGGGAGGAGAAAAAAATCTATTATTCCAACATTAATTGGAAGACACAGCACTTCATTATTATTCCACATGTTGGATGGCCGAAAGCAGTCCTAAATGTGGGACATTGTGCTTCATACTAAAACCTGATGAAGGGGACCCTGCATGGCCCCAAAACATTGTTTTGTGACAGTCTGCATCAATAAAGAAGATGGATTATTGACACAAGTAACATTGTAACATTTATCATATATTTAAAGATACACGGCGCCATCCGTGGTTACTACAGCACCCTCCTTTATACATAGGGGTTCCGGTAAGGAGTACAGCAGTTCTTCTCCAAGATTCCAAATGTGGGACAGCCATGGATACATAACTATAACAATAGGGAAAAAGCTGCTGCAACCCAAGAAACATTCAACTGCGAGACTGGACAGCCACATGCAGGCCTTTGCATCTGAAGCAGGTATCTGTAGATGCACCAACATCCACTCTATGGAACTTAGTAGATTAACGTCAAACAGATGCCATCGATACAGGCCCTTACAAACCTGGCAAACTGAATGCTATACTGTGAAGGGGTATAGCTCACCCACTAGAAGGGGCTGCCCCTTTTTGATTTGTCCAAGCCTCCTGTAGGTACCAATATGCTCACACACAGAAGATATTGAAGTGCAATGTTCTTTGGTGAACACTAAAGAAAAGGGGGTAAGGCAGCAAAGAGAATGGAGGCCACAGTGTCAATGCCAACAGACCCAGAAGCTGACACTCATATTAACACAGTCCAATGGAACAGTGATTCCGGACGCCCCATTTGGATTCCGCTACATGAAGCATGATATAAGCGGTAAAACCACATTACATCATTCAACATAAATTCTTATGCTCTTGGCTGTACTGGAAAAATGACACTTGGAATGGGACTGGTTGTTATCTGATACAGATATTTGTTTTCAGACATGACAGCTATAATATAACAAATTTAGAAAGGTCCTCATTCACAAGACTGTTGTGTATAATTATTAATATCTGTAGCAGTATGTAGATGTATCCTCTATTCCATACAGGAAGGGTAAAGGGATTGACACAGCGCACCTCTGATAACGCTCAGTTTGTGGGGTGAGAGGGGAGGCTTAGGACTTGCATCCTTTTTTTTCTTTGTTGCCACGCCGGTGACACTACGGTTCTTCAGAACGTCAGTTCCCCAAATCATAACTGCCAGGTTCTTGGTGTATTTGGAGTCTCCCTGTGTGGCTTGTAACTGGTGCCATTTTTCCTCATTCACCCACACGCCACTGCCCAGGTGAACCTGAATGAATACATAATGAGCATAAGTTCATAATCACTGGACATAAAATATACACAAACACAGAATGTCAAATACCAACAAGCAATATCTGTACTATGGAAAACTTGTATAACAAGGGGTCGGGGTGGGGGCATTTAAAAAAAGAAGAGGTTTCTCTAACAGAGTGGAAAATTACGCAATGCAGAAGGTGAGGAAGGGTCAGAAAAAAAAAGCTATATTGGCAGTTAACCAGCATGCATGTAAAATAATAGAGAAGACGTTATCTACTATTTACCTTCCCATTCTCTAGAATGTATTTATCTAGAACTGGGGCAGGAGTGGGGTAGAATGAGGAAGTATTGGCCTCTTCATTGGTCAGTTTCTGTATTTCGGGCTCAGTCTCACATAAGTCTGAAGACTCAGCCTTCAGGTCAATGATGAAACCTGGAAATGGGAAGAAAGAAGAGTATGCGATAAACAGAGTATGATCAAAACTAGACATTGAACTAGTCACAAAGCTCTTCATTTTACTAAACAAGTACAAAAGGGAGGTACCAAGCTATGCACAGGGGACTATTGTTCAAGGACGGAATGAAAGTTCATTATGAAGAATTGTGGGCCCCATCTCTAAAAACTGTTCTTACAAAACGTGTTTTACTTGCCCAGGCTGCAACAGGAAAATGTTTTCCTAGTGAAAGGAAATTGCTCGGTTAAAGTGTTAACTTAAAGTGACACTAAACTCAGAAGTTTAATCTTAAAAATACATTCAAGTACCTGAACTATTAACAAAAATGTATCTTATTTGTGTATCACTCGGCTGTAGATCCTCCAATCATCTCTGAATTGGTGCTTTATTGTCACTTTAAAACAAGCATGTAAATTCATAAAGCCATATATAAAAAAACAACATTCAGTACATCTCTGCAATACATGCACCTTTTCCTTGTTTTAATCCATTTACAACCTGTTGATATGCCAGACATGCAGTATGCTCCTAACATCCTGTTTGGGCTGAAAACACGGTACCTTTGCTCTTCTGAAATCCCCACCTGCCCTATTGCTATTCAGCAACTAATACACCAAAGGGAAATTTCAATTTCGGTCCCAATACAGATCTTTGTGGTGACTGTTTGTTACATCCAAGTACTATCAGGAGTTGAGCTCTGAGAAAGGGGAATTATCTGCCCCCCGAAACGCATTGACTGTTTTTATATGATCTATTTACCAATAATTAAAGTTGGACTCTTATCATTTTTTTCTTTTGGACTGGTGCTCTTTTCTGTATTTCTATCCCCGATACCTATCTTCCCCATTTCCTGTAGATTGCTTACACACTTTGTGTACGAAAGGGGCTATTGGGAGATATAGTTCTGGGTGGGCTGCCTATGATGTTGACCTTGCAAGAATTTTACAAGCCTATTGATTATATCAGAGTGAGCCATTATAGCCTTTTCACACATATTGCACCCTCAATTCACCAATTCCCTGCCTGATCTTCGCATTCTAAATGAATACATCACCTTAGATATGGTCCAATACAACATATTTATACATTTTGTGCAAATTCAGAAATGGAAACAAATTTGGGGATCATAATTGACCGCAGATTGAATAACAGCACGCAGTGCCAGGTGGCGGCAAACAAAGTGAGCAGAGTACTGTCTTGTATTAACAAGGGAATGTGCTGTAGAGACAAAGCAATAATTTTGCCACTTTATAGATCGCTGGTTCGGCCTCATCTTGAATATGCGGTTCACTTTTGGTCACCAATCCACAGAAAAGATGTCCTGGAGCTGAAGAGAGTCCAGAGAAGGGCAACTAAACTAATTAAGGGGCTGGGGGATCAAAGCTACGAGACAATGTTGCTAAATTTAAATTTGTTTACGCTGGAAGTGAGGAGATTAAGAGGGGACATGATTTTGATGTACAAAATGATTAGTGGTGATGACAACATCAGCAATAAACATTTTACTGTAAACAAAGACTAAAGGCCAGCACCTAAAATTGGGGGAGAAAAGATTTAACCACAAGGGGTATAGGGGCTTCTCTTCAGTTAGAGGGGTTACATTTTGGAACTCTCTGCCACAAGCAGTGGTGTCAGCAGAGAGTATTGAATCATGCAAAAATCAATTAGATTCCATCATAAGAAACCGTAACATACAGGGGTACAGGTTCACTTAAATACTAGACCACACAGGGACTCTTATACACACACACACAAAGGTTGAACATGATGGACCTGTGTCTTTTTTCAACCTCAAATACTATGCAACTATGTAACACAAGGTAAAAAAATGAAACTAAAATAATGCTTGTCCATGACCTAGAAGAAGAGAGGGAGGTTGGTGGGTAATTTCAGGTAATGCCTGGACATTTACTTTAAGGGAAACCCCATAAAACCCCAAAGTCTGTACTCATTTAACATACAGTATATTATAGTTTTTCTTTGTTGTGCACTTTGCAAAGCACCTTAAGATCAAAATGCACAGCAATATGTGTGGTATATGCTACTTCTGGTATGTGGGAATAGTGGGCACTGGTTATGATGGCAGTAAGGCCTTGTTCACACCAAATGCAGAGCAGATCTGCTCGCGTTTCTGCACACGCACGCTAGTCTTTAGACGCGTTTTTTTTTTCCAGGAAGCTAACAATGTTATGAGGTCATTTCCTTTTACCTCTGACCTTTCATTAGCTGTTCTGATTATTTCCTGCTTCCTCTGACCTTGTCTCACATGTAAAATTGTTGCAACATGGATCCATGGGATGCAGGCATGCTCCTGGTGATGGTTATTATACTGCTACGCCAAAGTGCTGTAAGGAGACGTCGTTTTTTTGGTGCACCCACTGATGAGTGAAAGAGATCCAAAGGGCCGGTTTGGGACTTTATATGCAGACCTTCGTGCACACCCCGACAAGTTTTTTTTCATACACCTGCATGTCGATATCCAGGTAGTAATGTTTGCTTGTTATGTTTTTATTGTTATTTTATTGTTTATTTTTTATTGTTTTTTCCACAGACAGGAAGTGACCAAGGAAGATTAGGTCATCACAGATGACCATAGAGTTTTTTTTTCTTTAAGGTTAGTTTTTTGCATTGAATTGCATTGCGCTGCGTTTTTGACGCGTTTACATGCGTTTTTGATGCGTTCCAGAGCAGGTAAAATAGGGCTTGCTGCAGTTTTTTTATCTGCTCTGGAACGGAACGCCGCAATGTGAACTGGAGCTAAAAACACCATTGGAATACATTGGACGCAGTTTTGATCCGGTCTGTAACTGCTCTGCAATTGCTCCGCGCTTGGTGTGAACAAGCCCTAAAAAGTATATGTGAGTTGTGTCAATACCGTAGTCATAACGGAGGATTTTTTTTTTAAACAACCGGCAAGCCAGATTAGATAGAGGCCAGATCTTCCGCAGAATTTCAAAAAACATGCATGCTCCTATCCTTCAATAATAAGCCCTACCCCAAACCCACAAAACTCAAGCCTATTTAGGACATCAACTACACCCATGTTTTTCTTTTTAAGGCCCATCACTCCAGGGAAACAAAAGCTGGAAGTGTCTCGGCAAAACAAGGACAGTTGTGAGGTATGAAATTTTCCTTTAGAACAGATCTGTGGCTTACAATAAAAAAAAGGTTTTCTGCAGTAACAGTGATTTAAGCCTGGACTTCATCTGCAGAAATAGCAATCCTACACCTCAGAGGGTTTTATTGTACGGTGAAATAGGCAAATAAAAAGAAGAAACAGAGAGTGCGAAGGCAAGAGGGAGACATCGGCTATAGCAGAGGAGGAAAGAGAACTCCCAGAGCAGCAAATAAGGCCATGCACTCCATAAGGCCTGAGGAATTTGTTTCCTGACACAGGCGAAGCGCCCGATCGCCGGGTTCACAACGTAAACTGAAGTCAGAAATGAGACGAGTAAAAAACATTGCTTAATCCCACCCCAGATAACTGAGAACTGCACAAGAACCACAAAGAAACTGCTTTACTATTTCTCGTTATTTGTTACTGAAAGAAAGAGATGAAATATTTATGAGATTATTCAATTCAAGATTAAGGAGCACTCATCTACAAAAATGTCTTTCAAAAGAACTGCCTGTTTAACCAATCAAGTTCAAACCTCCATTGGAAAATGGCAATTTAAAGCTGAAGTTCCGGTGTTCTATCGAAAGCTCCAACTCATGGTAATTTCCAACTACCTCACTTCCGGTGCTCAGAAAGACTGGAGCTCTGTACAGTTGCGGTGCGCATGCGCGCATAGCGTTTTCAGAATACTCGTCGAGCTTGCCACCAGCTGAATATTGTTAAAATGCAGCTGTACAGAGCTCCGTCAGTCTTTGTGTTTTGCAGTCTAATGTTGTCTGGTCAAAATCTACAAATTGCAAGTACCCAGCAGCAAGGTCGTTGGAGATTTTCGACGAGTTGGAGCTTTCGATAGAACACCGGAATATACTGTAAGCTTTCATTAAAAGATAAAGCCGTACTTGTGAACCTGCTGTGCAAGGATCTCCCTGCTACTATATCATTCCTTCCTTAATCTGTGCTTTTTAAACCTCTCCTGCAGCTTCTGAAATATTCCCCCACTAGTCATCAGTGGGCACAGCTGACGTTAGGAAGCATTTTTTTTCTCTGCTTGCATTTTTGGGCACAGCTTCCACAATACAGGCCTTTAAAGTGAATTTGTCAAATGCTAAAAAGTATTTACGCTAACAGCACTGCTGAGGTGTAGGAACCTTGGTGTCTTTAAGTACCTGATTTAAACTACAGATCACTTTCTTTGCCCTTGTGGATCCCCTGAATCCTAGCACCAGGCTGTACACTCTGTATCAAATTTGGCCAGGTCTATAAAAAGCCCCCTACCCTCAAATGCTAGGTACGACCCTGTAATCCAACAGACCAATGCCTGAACTTCATTGGCCAATATAGGCTGTAACATCTGATTACTGAAAAAAGGGGGCAGGTCTTAATGTAGACATGGAATAAGTTCATGTCCCACGTACAGCCCAGTCCTAGGATCCAAGGGCTCCACAAGAAATGTATTTAAAGACAAAACCGGCTACATAAAGGCATCCCAGGGTGCCAGTTCTTAAGTTTAGTTACTTCTCAGGGCCTCCTAGGCTTATGTAAAGATGAAATAATTTGGAGGGGGTACAAAATAGGAAAGTAACTCTTCACAAGCCACACAAAGAAATGTGTCCTCCATGTGAAAGTGAAACAACGAAAGAAGGAGCGCTACAACCCTGGAATACTGGGTGTTTAACAGTTAAACAGTTAAAAGATATAGTGTAACTATTGATGCAGACTCACTTTTGCAGTAGGTTTAGAGGCCCTTTTGTTTCATCTCTCAAAATCCTCCATCAACCACACCCAAGCACAATTTATCATGGAATGCACCAAATTTACATTGAACCACAACTATTTCTCATTTCTGGACAAATTTTACTTACAAACGAACGGGACAGCCATGGGCGCTAACTATGCACCCAGTTACGCCAATCTCACTATGGGCTATTGGGAAGACCACCACATATGGCAAAACAACCCTTATGCTAAACATCTAGTCTTCTATGGGCGTTATATAGATGACAGTCATCATCTGGTACGGTGCACCAGAAAACTTACTAGAATTTGTTCAACATTGCAACAACAACGAATTAGGTCTGTCCTTCACCCATGTCATCAGCACGAAAGAATTAGTCTTCTTAGATCTCGAACTTACCACCAAAAATAAACAGATCATTACCAAAAACCATACAAAACCCATGGGGGGGAATTCATATCTGCACTATCACAGTTGTCATCACCCCAGGTGGAAAAACAACATCCCCAAAAGCCAGTTTTGTCGACTGAGCAGAAATTGCACTGATAAATCAGACTATACTGCGTCCAGTCTACTTCTTACCAAAAAATTTAAAGACAAAGAATACCCTGATGAATTAAAATTAATTAATTATATATATAAAATAAAAGAAAGTTTTTTGTTTTTTTTTTTAAAGTTTTTTTAAGAAAGTGCTTTGAAAGTTTTTTTAAAGCTATTTAAGGTTTTTCCATACTGTCCACACCTGTTGTGCGCTCGTCACTCCCGTTGTTTTTAACCTCCATGTGAAAGGAATATTTTCTTCCAGTACTCAGCTTTATAAATTCTGACAATGGTCTTGTATTATTTAATCATTTGGAGGGGAATCTGACCTTCGTTTGTTCCAGCTAGATCTGTATTTTCTGCTCCTAGTGCCACTGGAGGGGAGCCATGGATTCCATTTGTTCGATAATTCCATGAAGACACTAAATAAAACAAACATATACCATTATAAAGGACATAGAAACCAAAGACGTTTAATATGTAGTAGCTGAGTAAACAAGAACTGTAACATATATAAAGAGTAAGACACAAATTGATTCTGGGGTGAATGTACCTTATGAATTAAAGTGTATCTAAACCCAAGGACAAACATGTAGTGTATTGAAGCTTACCAGTCCTTGATAAGGTGTCTGCATTTGTTTTCCTTTTATTTTCAAGCATACGTTTTCCTTTATTTTAACCTGGTGATCCTGCCAGTATCACACTTCCTGCACTAGGGTGACAACACTTATTCACTGTACTGTACCTATGATGGAGTATCAGTTTCACCACTGGACAGGGCTACCTAACACCTCCTTCTCCTCTTTTCTCCATAACATAAAGGTGAAGAGCTGTGTTGTCCAAAGAGAGTGCTAAGAACAATTTAACTGATAACAAATCAGTATAGTGCACCAATGGGAGGATCAAAAGTAGGCAGCGCATGCCACATCTGATGCACTCTAAGGGGGAAATGAGAACTGTATTTCCCATGACACCGCGTAGGGTTTCACAGGCGGTGCTCAGGGCTGATGCTCGATTGTGGGTGGGTCATGACCAGGTTCTGTGCGGAGATCACACCAGCCCACAGAAGGAACACGTCACCACACTGTTGTTGAGAAAAACAGCGGTGCATGGTTGCACAAACAGGAAGGTATCAGAGGAGCATTGATACATTATATATGAAAAACTAAAAGGAATGTCTCATGTTCTTACAACATACGGGCAAGTACCTTGATAACAGTAAGAAAATCATCCTGGCTGGAGGTCAGAGGTCTATAAAAAGCCCCCTATCCTCAAATGCTAGGTACGACCCTGTAATCCAACAGACCAATGCCTGAACTTCATTGGCCAATATAGGCTGTAACATCTGATTACTGAAAAAAGGGGGCAGGTCTTAATGTAGACATGGAATAAGTTCATGTCCCACGTACAGCCCAGTCCTAGGATCCAAGGGCTCCACAAGAAATGTCCACAGGAAACCAGCATTAACATGCAAACTTCATGAAGACTGCCCCTTGATGGGAACAGTACCAAGGACTCAAGTCTATGGAAGTGCTAACCATGAAGCCACCGAGTCGAGATTATGGTAATATAGTCAAATCTTCATTTTATTGGTTGGAAGACTGAACATTGCTGGTCAGTAAACGTCAAAGCAAAGGAGATTAAAGAAAAAAAAAGCAGAACATGCCTGTATGGTCCTTTAAAGAACCTTCCTTCATGTGAAAGCAAATTTTTCCAACTGAAACTACTAGTTAAAAAAAAAAAGAAGAGAGAGAGAAGATGGTGTGGAGTCAAAGACCGCACACTTGTACAGGCAGAGAAACGTTTTAATGAACAGATGCATTTTATAAGGTTTCTTTAAAGAGCGACCACTCGGTCTTCTCCTTCAGAAGTGTGGGAGCAGGTACATCAAAGCTTATGAAGTGAGCTGGGCCCGCGAGCAGCCGGAGACTTCATCTGATTAGAAGTTAAAGCTGATAAATCCAGTGTTATGAGTTACATGAATCCTGGGGAAAACTCCAACAGAAGCTAGTAGGAGCTTTGTCACTAATGAAAGCAAATGAAAGAAAGCTACAGGAATCGGATCACGCCACGGAACTGAACATGTCTTATGTTCTCATTTTCTCGGGTAAATCATGTTGTTTACCTTGAAGAGCTTGACATTCCTTAAGGAGGTACGGTCTTAAAGTAGATCTCCAGCCCAAACTTTTTGTAATATTTTGGACAAAAACCAGAGAAATGTAAAGCTGGCTATACACCAAGTAGAATATTTAAACAAAAAAAATAAGTTTTTAGTACGTTTGTGCGATTTTCTAATAGTTAATTGTGTATAACTGACCATCTATTTTGACCGTAGTGACTAGAGATAAAGCTGGGTTTGGAGCAAACTTGATTCATGCTCCTTCAATTTTAAATTCTTACTTGCAGTGTTTTTCCTTTTTCAGAAGTTATTTTGTATTGACTAGCAATGTCCTTTTGAACTTGCTAGAAAATTTGACTACTTCAAAAGAGTCAGTTCACTTGAAAAAACAGAAACAGGAACCATACCGCACTCCTTACCGGGATTCCCACTTGATGAGGATGGGTGCTCGAAATGACTGCGGATGGCACCGCCACACATGAACAATAGAAAAATGTCACCAGCACACCATAAGTTGAAAAAGCAAAATATTTTATTGCTAAGAGCTGTATCTCATTGGCAAGCGCTTTCGGGGCCTTGCAGGGTCCCCTTCATCAGGCTTAAAGATAATCTAGGGTTCCCTAGAAAAGCCTCCTCTCTACTTGCTCCTTCAATTTTGAACGTTTGCTCTATTTTCCAATAGTTAATCGGGTTATTTGACTATCTAGCTCGACCGCAGTAACTAGAGATGAGACTGTGCTTGGTGCGAACCCGATTCACCTGATTTCACCCAAACCCACTCAAAACTCTGACTGCCACTCCCGACCCAATCAGTGTCGGCAGTTGCAGTGGGGGCATTCCCTACCCCTTGTGACGTATAGCTGCAGGGCAACTGATTGGGTCGGAAGGAGGGAGTAGCAGTCCGAGTTTTGAGTGGGCTTGGGCAAACTGGGTTCATACCAAGCCTGGTCTCATCGCTAGTTACAACATTCAAGATAGATAGTCAAATAACCTAATTAACTATTAGAAAATCGAACAAACGTTCAAAATTGAAGGAGCAAGCAGAGAGGAGGCTTTTCTAGGGAACTGACTCTTTTGAAGTAGTCAAATTTTCTAGCAAGTTCAAAGGGACATTGCTAGTCAATACAAAATAAATGTATGAAAAAGGAAAAACACTGCAAGTAAGCATTTAAAATACTTGGTATTTCTGTGCTTTTACCTGCAATATTATAAGTTGATGACATGTTCTCTTCAGGCCCGGTGCAGACCTACTCGATCCGGGATCGCACGGTCCTGCACAATTACCTGTACTTTTTTTATTTTGCAATACACGACGCGCGGCTGTTTCAGAACACCGCGATCTGCCCGGCGCGACTGGGGTGCCGTTAGAAAATAATGGCACCCACAGCGCGATCCGTGCACACCTAGGCGACTCCTCGTGCACGATTACTGTGCGGTGAGGTGTCGCCTGGGTGTGCACCGGCCCTTAAAGGGTTTCTAAACCCTTTTGTTAGCAGTAGATATATGCAAAAAGTTTTTTCTAAAAAACGCTTTAACAGCGGTTTAAACTTACCCCGTTTTCGCCGCGCGCTCCCGCCCAAGAATCCTAAACTGCTCGGGCTGCCACAAAGCATCTTGGGGCGGGCGCATGCGCAGTTTGGATTTTCGGCCGGGAGACGAGCAAAGACGCAAGGTAAGTCTATGGACGCGTGCACCCGCATGCAGACACGGTGGGATCGGAAGTGCCAGCAAGGACAAAGTAGTCAGCGATGGATCGGAGAGCCGCCGCCGCACTGCAGGAGGGACAGATGAAAACATCAGGAAAGAAGAAGAGGAAGATCGGATTAGGAGACATCATTTAAGGTAAGTGCTGACATTAACATTGGGGGGAGGGAACATTTTTTTTTACTTTAATGTCACTTTAAGTGCTACTAAATGGCTGTGTTTACTACACCTTCTTAAAATGCAAGTCCATAAAGGTGGCCATACAGCTTACAATTATCGTACGATTTCTTTTGTCCCGTCATCGCACCCATCGCTCACAAACCGTAGCCCCCCCAACAGTAAAAACGGCACTTTTGCCAAAAAGGCTGCCGAAAAAGTGATCATGGACTCTGTGTCCTCAATCTCTTTTCCTATTCTAAAAGGGAAATATCAGGGGTCTGTTTAGACCTCTGATATTTCACCGAAGCCCCCCGCTGTAAAGTTAAAAAATTGAAATATTTAATTAAAATAAATAAAAATAAAATCTAAAAACAGGTTAAAAGGTTATTAAAAAAATTATTTTCGGTTTCGGTCTGACATTTATTTTTATTTTCGGTTTAAAAATTTTAACCTCTATTTAAAACAAAATATTTGACATTTCAGAAACGTTTTAAAGAAATTCCAAAGAAACAGTTGTCCAGACAGAAAATATTTATAGCTTTTAACGACGGATGAAATTATCTTCAACGCATGAGTCGAATGATAAAAATCTATTCTCCTGATCTTTAACATTCCAGTGGCTATTATTTGATCAGCATAGCACCGTATCAAGGTGCTGACAGCTTCAAAAGAATCTGTACTGGGGGAAGTAGCTGACACCCCCTAAAAAATACTACTCCCCTGGCTGTTATTTCTGGTCCAGTGGCTTCAGTAGTTTCTGAGTCCCTGACCTGGAAAAGCTACGCACATTAGGAGTTCTCACGTCACTTCAAATGTCTCCAAGAATTAAAGGTCACTAAAGGAGTTAAATCTTAAAAAAGTAACCTATCAACAGAGATCACTCAGCTGTAGATCCTCAAATCATCTCTGAATTGGTGGAGACACTGTCCTTCCTTCTGGAGGGTGGCTACTTTTGTTCCCCATGGTCCCTGTGTGTGTCGGAAAGTAGTCACCGGCTCCAAGCTCGCTCCCATGATGGACTACAATCTCACTTTTAGTTTACTAATTTGTAGGGATGCACCGATACCGATACTAGTATTGGTGCCTATGCCGAGTACTCGTCCAAATGCTCCGATGCCTAGCCCGATACTTTCTGTATCAGGAAGCCAGGCAGCACGTCATTACACGCTGTCCGGCTTCCTGATTGGCCGGGAAGCCTGCTCCGTGCTCCCTGTCATTCTGATCGAGCGGCTTTAGTAATTTCGGGGTCACTGACCTGGAAAAGCAACGCACATTAGGAGTTCTCACTTCCAATGTCTAGGGCTGCAGAAATTTTCATAACCAATTAGTTGCCTGATTATTTTTTTTCAACTAATCGATTGGTTGCATTAAAAATCTCACTCTCTCCCCTCCTCCCCCCAACCAACTAACCGATAATGAGAATAGTTGCCAACTATTCTC